AGATGCTGAGATTTTAAAGTTTGCAGGGTTGTGGTTTCCCCCCCCCCCATTTTTTAATTAAGAATTTATTGAAAGCACATTCCTTACTGCCATATTGCCTGGTGCAACTGTGAAAAAAAAATCAGTGAAGGTGTAGAGCTCATCATACCCAGGTTCAGTTTGGCCCTTAAGATCTATGGGTTAGGGTGGACTTTTTTTTTTTTTTTCTTCCGTCCTCACCCTGCCATATTTTTATTTTTTTTTTGTAGGCCTGGTACTGCAGTCATGGCGGACTGTAGGCTACTTTTCTAACTCCTAAGCTGTTCCCTCAAAGTACTGACCCTGGTGGTCTTGTGCAGTCGTAATAGAGTGTCTTGCTATCAAAATTAATCATAATAGCTGGGCATCAGCCTGTTCTCTGAGGCAAAGAAAAACGTTCTGTTTCTTGTGGCATTATAGTACCGGCCTTCTTTTACAAGACTTTGAACAAAGCTGAGGAAGAGAACCGCTGCTCAGTCCGAGTGCTTTTTTTTAAAAATTAAAACTTCATCGTGAAATGTAAGAAAGGTCACAAAAATTAAAACTTTTTGACATGGGTCACAAAGACCACCTGTTAATTGCAGCAGAAAAAGGGAATTCTATGAAGATGGTACTCAAAGGGGAGAATTGGTTAGGGGATATTTGTCTGGCCCACAGGCATTTTAGTTCATGTGTGTTTGTGACACCGAGCATTTCTTTCCAGTATGTGGAACTGCTTATGATATGTGGGGAAATCAGCCTTTTAAAGGGATGGCGAGGTGCACATGATCAATCTTCCTTTTGCTTTAGGACGATAGAAAAGTTGGTTCTTGGTGTGTTGGCTTTTCCCCCACCGAGTGTGTTCTCAAATACTTCACGTCTGGATTTTTTTTCATCAAAAACTAGGAGAGGTAAATTGTGTATATGAGGGGGGGGGTGGGAGATGTCTTCACAATGAAGAAAAAAAGGTTTGTTTTCTTCAAAAAAACCCAGTGTGAAAAATGGACAGTTGTGTTATTTGCTACTTCTGCAGCTCTGTTTTGTAGTTCCACTTGCGTAGTACTCGCTCTGCGCTAGGGCTGGGGGGGCGGTGGGAGCATGTAGCCCATGGTCATGCCTTTCCTCACCAGCGGCTGGAGTGGAGCTGCACCCTGAGCAGGGATGTCCGCTGAGGCACAGGAGACACCATTTCCTCCCCAGCAATAATTTAGGTCTTTCAGAATTCTACCGTATGATCCTTTTATGTTTCTCCAGCTGCAGCTGGGTGGATTCCCTCTCAAATGATTTATCCAGTGCAGTTTGTAATACACGATTCCATACGGACATTGTTTTTCTATCAGCGAACATCTGTATTTCAGTAAACTGAATTGTACTTGAGGTAACGGTTGTACTTTGTGACAAAACTTCAGAGATCCCTACGACGTGCTGTGTTCAGCATGGTGCTTCGTAACTGAGGACAGACACCACCACCAGAAATGCACTTCCTTTCTAAGCAGTTAATTCACACAGAAGGGTATTTGCCTGTTTTTGTGATGATAGCATGTAGGCTTGAGAAACGGAAAGCTTTTTCTTTCTCTAAAACAAAAAGCCTTTCTGATAGGAATTTACATTAAGCAAGCTGTAGTTGTCTCTCTGTTATTTGCAGAATTGTTCTTTATTATACCCAACTATTTTACTAGGTAATACTTGAACAATTTAACCATTTACAGTAAACAGACTCACAATTTCTTTGAAGATACTCTTGATTTTTCACCCTTAAGGACAGGAACTGCATAGCATGTTAGACTGAAACACTCTGTAATAATGGAATTGTCCCTCTTTTTAGAGATAGTATTAAGAAAAGTTAATGGTAAAGTTTTCTGAATCTGCTACACTTTCAACCACCTCTTTAATCCAGGGGATGTAGTTGGATACTCTGGTGTATACACCGTATTTCCCTTTTTCAGCACAGCCCTCACCCCAGCTTACAATCCCCAAGAGAAACCAAGTGTTGTGGTAAGACACTGTGAAGGGGCCACCGCTGTCCCCTTTGCAGGCGTCGGCAACGTTTGTGCTGTAACCTGCGCAGAACATGTTATCAGTGATGAGTCTGTCCGTTGACCGCTGACAGGTCTCCAGGTTTACAATGGGCAGCCGGACTTTCATGAGGAAGCGCAGAGTTGAACCTCTCTCGTGAGTGGCACCCCATCCACTTACCATCCCTATTCTTCCTTCTTCAGATAGCAGGGTGGCAAGGTTGGGGCTTGGAAGGCAGATAGGAATTACATACTCATTAAAAATAACATCACTGCTCAAGTACAACAAGGCGATGTCACCGTTGTAGTCATTTGAATCATAATGTGGATGTGTCCAGCTCCGTTCCACGGCAATCTTCTGTTCTTTGAATTCTCTTTGATACTTGTCAAAGTCTCCTGTAGTAATGACAAGTTAAAAATGTTAAATGACAAGTTAAAACGTTAAGCGAACTGTAAACAGGGTGTTGGCGTGGGGGAACAGGAGCGATGGTGAATGAATGCTTTGACATTTTGTCCCAGGAAGGCACAGACCAAAACAAACCGTGCTCTGTAACAATACTTTCTTATGCTGCAGATGGGATCCTGCACATCAAGTGTACCAGTTTGCCCCCCAAGGGCAAAAAAAAGTTGTTGCCTGGATGAATTGATACTTACAGTGAGTATGGCTTCTGGGGTAGGGGTGTTACCGTAAGTACTGTCAATGCTTTTTAGTGAGCACTCTGTTTTGAACAGTTTGTCTGAGCTTCCCTGGGACTTTGCGTTTCCCCCCCTTGGGAACGTGACATAAGCATTAAGATGCAGCCCTGGATAAGGCCGAAGGATTGTTTTCTGTCAGTTCTCCTGTGCTGTGTTCTGTTTGCTCCTCTTGCACGTTGCTGTTCTGGGGGTTTCAGGCACCAGACGCTGTTTACTGCAGCATTCCTCCTGCAAGGGGTTCCAAATCCTGCTGTTGTAACCGCTGCGGTAGTACCTTACAAGGGAGAGGGGCTTTCTGCTCTGAGGCAAGGAGAAGCAGGTGGCACCGCAGGCACCTAACCTCAAGGCTGACAAAACTGACTGGAGAGCAGACCACCCACCTGCAGGACTCCTTCCTTCTGAGGTGTACCCAGTCTCCATGCGCAATGTTTTTGCTAAAATGGGCGACAGAAAAAGATCAATCTGTGCCTTACGCTCCCACATTCTCCAGGAAAACAAAAGGGACCAGCTGGAGCCCCTCTGCACTTGCATGTTGCCAAGAAAATGAAGTGTTCTGTAAATCCGAATCAGGTTGGAGGTGTGTGTTTCTGAAGCATACCCTACTGTGGTCACGTACAACGCAAAGCGCTTTTTAAGTAAGAGATTACCCCGGGTTTATACAGTACACAAACGGTACTCGCCTACGGTAACGTGGTGTGGTCTGACGAGATCAAGGCAGTGAGCAGCAGTGACCACCCAGCGACTGCTGATTAAACTCCCTCCACAGAAACCAACATCTTTACTGTTCCGGATCAAAACCTGTAGGAAAGATGAGGAAGAACGTGTCACCAGGGCTGGGTTGGGTACGTATGCACGTTGTTGGTCTCTCGAAAATAACACTTCTGGCAATGATGACTACAGAATTATAAGTTCCATTAATGCCTCAGCTTCTCTTCAATTAAACTCCTCCCAGAACCTGTTATTTCATGAGTTAAAACTGAAGGAAAAGCTTACATTTTGGTACACTGCACTTCGGTGATGTTAATAAATGTTGGAAAAAGGTGTGACACAGTCTGGCCTCCTACCTTGGTCTAAGTTCTTGCAGTAACGTTAGGTTTTACGTGAGCCATTTTGACTTAATTCATTTACTATTGATGCTTTTAATTCTGTTCTGTTCAGTAGTGCTAGAACAAAACATTGAAAAGTAGCAAAGAAAAATTACGTGAAAATTCTGGCTTAGGTCATGAAGAACGAGAAGAGAAAGAGTTTCCACAACCCTCTTTAAAAAAAATAATTAAAATATAATACAAGATTCAATTACAAATGGCCTGAGGTGATGAAAATTTAAAACTTTCTTGATGGTAACGCTTCACTTCAAGAAGAAACTGTATAGGTTAGGCAGCGTTCAGACTATATTCCCTCCTCGCAACCCAAGATCAGGCCTCCCTTGACCAAAAGGGAAGCAGCGGGTGTTCCTCCTACAAGTGTGTAAGAAAGACGGCAGAAACCCGTATGCTTTACCAGTAGTGACGTTTCAGCTTGCCAAAGTGCATAACGATGGCGTGGTCCACACGCGTTCAGCCACCTCTTTTTCCACCTGTGAAATACTTGGTGTGTGGAATGGGAAAGTTTTTTTTTGTGACAGCAATGAAATAGACTGATGCTAACCTGTGGGGTTTTTAGATCAGTCTGTGACCTTTCTATGCACAAGCCCATAAACAATTATAGTACACTGATGAAACAGAGACAATACAAATAAGTAAAAATAACTAAGTACACACACACACAAAAAAGCCCAAACTCAAGATTTAAAAAAAAAACCAAAACACCGAAACACGACAGTGGAAATAAACACGTCAGGGGGATTCCTCTGCTTGCCACATGCCTTCACGTTTGAGCCCTCTCAGCTTTATCTTCCTTACCGTAACAAGTATGAAAAGCTCAGGAGTCTAATGAAAGATCTCACCTGGTCATGGAAAAAATTTTTATGAAAAAAAAATATTGCCAGCCATTCCTAAAGGAATCAGAAGCATAGCTTTTCACCCAGAACATTCAGAAACAACCTGAATTACAGAGCAGGAGAAGATCTGATAATTGCTGTAGTTAAAGGAAGTATTACGGTGAGATCACAAAAGCACATGTACCTAGGACGGGGAGAATGATAAATAAGGCAACTAAGATACGTAGCAACAAAAAAACCCTGTGGAAGTTTGAGAACTACGTGCGGCTGGATTGGTCTCACCCTGAAAAAACCCCCTTTATAATGGCTTGATGAGCTCTGTGCCAGACAGAACCAGTGATGCTAAAGTAAGAAAGCACTCAGGTGTGGTATTTATGGCCAGAGTGGGGAAAAAAAAAGTATCACCTGCCAGGGGCAATGTCCACGATGACACAGAGTTCCTCCTGTTATCCTGGAGTCGTCGTGCTCTGAAGCAGAGCTGATGAACTGAGGCGTGGCCGAAACATTTCCCCAGTCCCTGCTCTGATGAAGCCCATGGTGCACGGTTTTGTTCTGGCCACCGCCCTCCCCCGTCTCGTTTTGCCCAGCAGCATTTTCCACCATTTCTTTCTGCCTGGCCGCAGGCGCTGTGGTCTCGTTCTGCCACGCAGGGCCCTGGGTGGGCTCACTCCACGGAGCCGGACCTCTCCTGGGGTTGCCAGGCCTGGTGGTCCCCTCCACTGCCTCAGCCTGCTCGGGGACACCCGCCTCCTGCCCAGCACCACCGTCCTCCAGCAGCCTCGGGCTCACAGGGTCCACCAGTGTCTTGTTCCAGCTGGAAGCATCTCCTGCCCCCTCAGTTTGTCCAGTGTTCCCCTCCATGTGCATGCTCTGCCCCAGGGGATCCTCTAGGGTCTCATTTTCCCCAAGGGCACTTTGTTCCAGCTCCCTTTGCCTCGCTGTGCCCTCCGTGCTCTCATCCCACTTGGTCACATCATCCCCGTGCTCACGCAGTCCCCTCGGGAGCCTTTGCTCTTCCTCCAGAGCCTGCCTGGCTTTAACCAGGCCACATGGAAAGCGTGCTGGAGGGAAGAAAGACAGAAATAAAGATCTGAGTTTAGGGTGCGCGGTGTCATGTCAAAGCCCAACACAAAAGTAGCACTTCTGTCCAAGAACGGGATTCAATCCTCCTGTAAGAGCCCAGGCACAGCTGTGACATTTGGATGTCAAACTCCACTTTCGGCACCATCGGACCAAGGTGCGTAGAGCTCATTAACAAGACACGCGGCACGCGGCTGTGCCTCTTCTGAACCGCAGGCAGCAGCCACAGCTGGCGGAGGGAGCAGGCGCAGCCTGCCGAGGGCTCTCCTCAGGACAGAACCCAACCCCAGCACTCCCTTTGTGACAGGACGCCTTCACACAAAGTTTTTAAGGACCCCTGTCACCTCCCCTCGCCTCTGCATGCTGCGGTTTAGCTGTGTAGCTCAGTTAAGCTGATCGAAGTCTGTGTCGCTGTTAGAAGGAACAGGCCCACCCCAGACTCTGCTGCTGCTCCTTTACCCAGTACGTGCTCACGGCGCCACTGGATTAGAGACACACCTGATTGGGAAGAACCTTAAAATTTAAAATAGATAAACAAAACATTATAAATAAGATAGATCTTTTCCATACACTAAATGCAAGCCGCAGTAGCTACGGTGTGCGTAGCTCTTCTGCAACTAGCAAAGAGGAAAAATAAAGACAGTGCCTGCAAACCTGCTCTTTACCTGGAGTAATTCCGAGCTGACCGAGCTTTACCTGCTTGCACGCATCTCTTCCCGTCCTCATGCAGGGCGTAATCCTTTGCGCAGGAACACACCACGTGAAAGGCGCTGCTGCTATCCCTGCAGTACTGCCAGCACCCACCGTTCTTATACCAGCATTCAAACTTTTCTGTGACGGAAACAAACAGCCATTCACGTGGTTATTGCTACGCATGGACCCCTGAGCAGCACACAGCTTCTAGCACTATTATTATATGAAAGAAAGCAGGAAAAAAAAAAAATCTGCTGCAATCTTGCAAGGAAACAGAAGGAACTACCCCTTACAGTTCCAGAAAGCCACAGTGATTTGTAGCAAGCCACACACATCGCCTTTTGTCTATTGTTCTTCGCATGTTTCTACCATTTTCTTATTTGCCAGCTTTGCCTTGAGGCCACAGCTGGGCTCTAGGCCTTTCTCCCCGTAGAGCAGGGGCAAGAAAACGCCTGGAAGAGCAAACACTTCTAAATGCACCCCTTTTTGATCCGTCTGCGCATCTTAACTTCTATGTCATGACAGATTAAAAGTACTAGGCTTTTTGTTGTGGGCCAAGTCTGTGAGAAATTGACTGCGTTTTTTTTATACATTGTTACATTAAAAAAAAAAGTTTAATTGCTTCACTGTAAAACGAAAAGGTTGACAAAAGGACTCCGGGGTGGGGAATTACTTATGATTCATAATTCCCACGTCAGTTTGGTTTTTGCTGTAATTTCATGCCTCAGTCGTTTGCAAATCAGATAGAGTATTTCAGAGGACCAAAAATTTGATAAGAGATAGGCAGCTTTTCTACTTCATTTTTCATCATTCATACATTACAAGACAAATACAATTTCTTTTTGTTTACACTAAGCTTTGGCTAATTTGTTTGATGCATTTACTCAATAAAATTCCAAAGGGCCTCACCATGAACGATCTCCAGTGCAGGTGTCTATGGCAGGAGTGACTAGACTTGGTATCACTCTGACGTGATAAAAAGAGGCAATTCCCTGTCCTGTGTTGGAGGAAGAAGGGAGCTGGCCATGCGCCTTCCTCAGGGCTTGCCCAGATGACTGCAAGAGCCCAGAACTGCAGCTGCTGCATGACAGGAGGTGGTGCCACCCTCTTCTGCCGTGCAGCAGAGCTAGAAGTAGCTACAGCCGCTGTCACAACATGATTCCCTTCCTAGGGTGGCGGTGCCCCACCACGTGACGTAAGAAACCACCGTTCTCACGTATGAATCTGAAACAACCGACCAGTTCTGTATCAGACAGATCAAGGCACCACGCATAACCTCGGTGAGAAGCCTGTGCAAAGGTTCAGCTCAAGTATCCAAGGAACAAATCCCAGCCTTAATCCTTCCTTCACAATGAATGTCAATGTCTCTGTTCCTGTACTCACCTTTTTCACAGTTGTCTCCTCCAAATTTTGGGGGGCAGATGCAAAAGGAATTGTAGTGTCTTATTTTGCAGACTCCACCATTGTTACAGGGATTTGTACTACACGGATTTAAACCTAAGAAGAAGAAACAAGGCATAGTGTAATTCCAGGAATTAAGAGAAACCTGGCTTTAAACTGCCACATAAATCTTTGTACCCAGAAGGGACAGAAGAAATAGATTTTTATTTTTTTTTAACAAATTCCTTTTTAACCTACCTTTGTAACTGAACCAAAACTCCATCTGCAAGAAGAAATCACAAGTGAAGAAAACAGTCAGTAAGTGGTCATGTTGGTTACTGAAGACGTATTTCAGAAAACTGTTCCTTTTAGAATGCATGGAAATTCACATTTTGATTACAACGACAATACACCTTCTCAGAGCAGATCTCCTGCTCATCACCATGCAGCTCACTTCCGTTTGCATCACGGACCAGCCACGGAGTGCATAAACTGGGTTGTACTGGAATGAAAATTAAACTGAAAGCTTAGATCCACAAATGCTCGAGCCAGTGAAAGGTCTGTGGCACCAGCTGAGGAGTTTCAAGTGACACCCCCCGCCCCGCCAAAAAAAATGTGTCAATGCAAGGGCCTCAGCACCAACTGCTTCACTCTGAAGAGCCACGTCTACTGCGCTGTACCACCTGCTAAGGAAGACATCACCCAAGCAACTGGGGCTAGATGTAAGAGAAATTAGGCACCTCTATTTAAAATTGCAGTTCAAACGTCCCCAGCAGAATGCCTACAGCCCTGCTTCCCAGCTGGACACCATCGGGCCCTGGGAACGAGGCGCTCCCCCTCTGTATCTGGAGGGGTCTGATCAAGCAAGTGGCCTCTGGAGATGTCTGAATCGCGTTGCTGGAATGAGGCTCTCACAGAAATGAGTTTTGGATGCTTTTAAGGAATTGTGTTTAATGTTTACACAACAAACTGAGCACTCACTAAGAAAGTGAGATCTCACAGGTGCCTTGCGTGGCCCATCCTGACTACCAAGCTGCAGAATCCACAGGCACACACCTGTCAGAGCCATGCCAGGTGGCTTGGGAAGGATTAATTACAGCTCACTGATAACTTTCCTCTATTTTTCTTAAAATAAAGTTTCTCACTGTTTTCTCCTGCGAATGGAAGATCTCCTTAGCCTCCTCAAATGAACACTTTTCCTCATTGCATTCTCTCTCCAAGTTCCCTGGACGAATCTCTTCTAGAAAATAGTTCGCACGTTTACGGACTTTCAGCACCTCGTGTGCTTGGTCTTTTCTCATAAACACTAGAAAAACAAAATTGAACAGTTGATACTGGAAGACAATAAACCGGCATCATTACAGTCACAGTCATGCATGCTTTCAGTTGAGTAAACAATATAAAAGAAGGGGAGCAGGAATTGCTATAAACAGCCCAAAATAAAATAAAATAAAATTAATCTGTGTTCCAACAAAAGACACGAGTAGTTTAAGCTTTCTTTTAGTAGATCAAAAGACCCACTACTGAGACTTGCAGATTACTGCAGAAACAATTTTTTATTTCTCAAGATTCTTGAGTATTGCAGCTTCTTTGGAGGCTGGTTATATTTTTCTGCCTAACCGTCCTATTTCACAACAATTATTAGTCGCCTGGTTGTGTGTGCATGCGGAAATAAAGCTGAAAGGAGAGGTTTGGTTTGTATTTGGTGTCAGCTTTATTAGATATTCAGTAATGGAGACCCAGTGCTTTCCAGGTAGCTACGGTGGCCACAACAGGACAGACGCTGGTCCTTCATTAAAAGTGTCAGTTTTGTACTTGTGTTTAGGTCATCTCAACTTCGCTTCACTAAGCTATCTGCCCTCCTCCTGCAATGTCTGAAGAGCTATTATTGCCAATAAATTAAGGGAGGAGGGGCCAGAAGAGGGAATATGGCAGTAAGGTCCTCCCCATACAGCCCCTGCTGCTCCATAGTAAATCTCTGCTATAGCACCTCTAGCTGAAGCTCAGGGCTCCTGGCATTTTCCAGCCAGGATGCTCTGAAGAAAAATGAAGGCTCACTCAGCCCTTGTGGATGCAGTTACCACATACCATCATTATTTAGAGAAGATCACAGGTTTTGCCTTTTTGTTAGCTCTCCAGAAGTGTGGCCCTATATCCAAAACCATCCATCTGATAGACTGAAAAACTTCTGCTAAGAGTTTTCAGACGGAAAGCTCACTTTGCAATCCTGTCGAAGCCTGCTAAAATTCATACAGCGCTTCACGTAACAGCACTCTGTTGTCCTAGTCATGGTTTAGTGTCCTGGACAAGTCAAAACCCTCTGACCAAGAACGCAGTTTTGGAGATGGACCATAAAGACACATTTCTTTGAAGTTGCAGGATCAGTATAGCAATGACTGAAATTCTAGAATAATATTAAATTGCTTGATTTCTAGGCTGTTTCTAATTAGAAACAGCCCACAAAAACTCTTAGCTGAGAAAAGCTTTGGACCAATCCTGCTGTCTGGTAATGGGGAAAATGTCTTTCACCGACATCAGTGAAATTGCCCTTCACCACCCCTTGAGTTCTGGGGTCGTCTTTAAAGGATCGACCTATTGTAAGCAGGTATCCCACACAGAGGACATGCCTGTCGTAAAGCCTTCTGGTTTGCAGCTACCACTTCTACTTCTGCTCTTCCTCCTCTGCAAGGACAGCCATAATGATTCCTGAGATCCTGTACATTCTCACGCCTGTTCTAAAGCTCTCTGAAGCCATTTCCAAATCTTGCGTAGTAGTTGTAGTAAAATGAACATAAGATCAGAGAACACATGTTGAAAGTGTCTAATTTTAGCTTCCGACATTGGAAAACTTTGCCATGCAAAAATAATTCAGATGTTGGGTTCAATGTCACAAGGAGAATACTTTTCAACAGGATAGCGGTCTAAGTAGGAAGTTAAGAAAGGCTGATTTCTCTTGGAAATATATATATGAATACTCACTTGTGCATTTCAGGAAATGCTTCTTCAACCCACAAGACTTTGTGTTCAGAAAAGGAATGTAGTTTCAGTTTAAATGCCAAGATTGCCACAACAGCACAATTAAGTTAAAACGTAATTCAGAAGTACCTACCAGAATATGAAATCAGACAGCTGCTGTTGATGGAGCACATCAGTAGGAAAAACATCACAAGTGAGGAACTGCTCTCCATTTTAGCGAGCATTCAGAATACTCTGACTTCCTGCTGGTTTCCTTCAGAGGGAAAAGAAGAATGAAACTGGTACATTGTCACAAAAACAACAAGGGTGAATTAGCCTGCAAAAAAGATTATGAAGTAGAAACGAGAGGACAGGAGAAGGGACAAAGAAAGCAAATTCTACCCAGTTCATTTTGATCTGATGTCCATTGTTTCTCCAAGCCACACCGATGCTGCACGCTGCAACAGGAATCCCGACAGTTCACAAGGCAACGTGCAGAGATTGACCTAGCCCAGGATGCGGTGCAGGGTCTGATCCAAAGCCCACAGAAGCAGTAAAAAAGCTATGGTGGATACGGGACGCCCGGATCAGGCCCAAACCGAGCAGAAGGCAATTCCAGCAACTGCCTGGTTTAACTGCGAAGGATCCCAGGCTGAGGGCTGAGCTGCAGACTTCAGCCAGCAGTTTCTAATGATGGCAGCGGCTGTGTAATTACTGATGGTCTTGTCAAGCAAGACCGTATGCGCAAACCCCAGCGAGGAAACCATCCACCACATACCTGGCAGTAAAAGTTACAAGACAGAAGTTCTTCACATTACCTTCCCAGGCTAAATGATTTACCAGGATTCGATAGCACATACCTCTTTGCTACCTGTATCATTTTTCCAAAAACACGGGATCCAGAATGCGTTCACTTTACACAGAACCATGCAATTATACTCACTTTTTTTCTTTATTTTTTTAGGGGAAGACAGGAGAGAGATTTGGAGGTACACCAGGAACAGCCATGAGGTCAAGAGGTTGATCATTAACCAGTCACAAATATTGACACAGTCGAGACAACCTTCTGGATTCTATGAAACACATTTGAAATCCAAAATCAGAAGAAAATGGCATGTGTGTTTCCACACACACACCCCTGCGTGCATTAAAAAAGTCCTTAAAAACATCCTCCAACAATAATAGCCGCTTCTTTGCAACAAATTTCTTCAGGAAAATCTGGAATTTTTAAAAGAAGATTTCTGACACTCCACCATCTATCAGTAGGTAAAACCAACTGATCTGGAAAATACACAAGCTGCTCTGTAAACACCTGTTGAAATACGCAGAGCTGCGAGTGTGTATGAGGATTCATAGCAGTCATCTGCGGGAAGGCAAATATTGCCCTGTAATAGTCACAACTGCTCACTGACATTATGATTTCTGCCTTTAATTAGACCCATGTTTTACTGGCTTTGTACACAACAATGCTTTTCCTTGTAATTCAATGAGTAGCAACGTCAGCTTTCTCAGGAGGACGTATTCTTGGTGCAGGCCCATGCTGGAAGGCTGCTGTTCAAAGCATTATTCCTTAATGTTCCTTGATCCTTAAATCCAGTCCCAAATGAAAGGGGGGGGGGGGGGAGAGAAAGAGAGCGAGCGAGCACATGCGTGACACAGAGAGATGGCTGACTGTACTCTTCAGTTTCAGCTTACCTCCAGCATGCAGCCCTTAGCCTGACTGTTACGCCTTTAACGTAGGAATCAACTTCAGCACTTGCTTAATAAACATGTAAGCACCTTGTAAGTCAGCAAGACCAAGTCCACAAGTTTATGAGGTATTAACCCTTTTTGCTGACACCATATTAAATTTCTTACAAATTTTGTTGTAACTGAGGTGGTTTTTTTTGTTTAACAATCTCGTCACAAGAGCAGACTGAAGTTCTTCATATGGGTCCAAATCCTGACTGAGACGTTGGAAAGGTGTCACTATCACAGAATTAGTTTCACTTTTTTTTCTACAAGATTAATTATATTTAGCAGGCTTAAGTGCTAAGATTAAAAACAAGTACAAATTGTGATATTAAACTTCTTTTTGACTACTGCTACTTCTTACGAACTTCTTGGTCCTATGTATCTTTATGTTATTTACTGATAGACCCACAGACATACAGATACAGGTGCAAACACCCCCCCCACATCTATCAGTATGAGTAATGCCGATATAGCCTGCAGCTGATTGCATTCATAAGAATAGAAATGAACAAAAGTGTTTGCTTAGCTTGATAATTAGAAGAGATTTACAGACTTTAGGATAAATAAAGCACGCAAAAGCTTAGAATTAAACCTCTTGTTTTCGAATAACACCAGAATTCCCATTGACTTTTAAGGAAGTTTAAAATCAGGTATCAAGTGCGCAAAGAAGAGAAAATAAGAAGTTCTAGCGACCCGCTGAATCAACTTAATCTGTGAGCACTGGAGCAAGATGTGAATGAGTGGAGGCAGTGATGATGTAATTAAAATTTCATTGTGTTGAAAGAAAAATTATACAAATACAGAGCAAACCAAAACAGTTACTGGGGATGATATGTTAGAGTAAAGCTGAAATGACAGAACGGTATCACTACGGTGATTGTTAAAACACTGTTCTCTGTCCCTCCTGCCCCCCAACCCAACCAACTGGGTCATTTTACACGTTAAAGATGGAGTCGTCTGACCATGGACTATCTTATTTTCTACAATGCTGTATAGCATCTCAGCATAACAGGGTATTATTTCTTGCCTGTAAGGCCTAAGTAGGACCATGCTACAAATAAACAACATAACCTGGAAACTAACCAATGTAAACAATTAAAAAAAAAAAAGCAGTTAAAAAAAGAATAGGTACCAAGGAAAACAGTACACAAGGTTAACATATACTCAATATTTAATACTGAAGCTCTGACAGTACATTACACTGCATACTGTCACTAGCACATAGCCACAATATTCCGGACTCCCAGTATCAGAATCAACCCTTCCAAGAAGCTGACATCGTATCTATGTGATGCTGGATCCACTCAAGATACTGACTAACTTTGGTATAGACTCCAAATTTCTCCCTTCTTCCACAGCCTTCACCCCAGCTCACCAGTCCTACCAAAAACCAAGTATCCTTATACTTAGTGATCATAGGGCCTCCGCTGTCCCCACTGCAGGAATCTTTTTTGTCTCCTAAGCTCCCAGCACACAGCATGTTGTCAGAGATCGCAAATCTCATCGCCTGGGCACACTCGTTCCGGGGAACGATGGGGATCTGAATATAACTGAGTAAAGTAGAGTAATTGTTCTTAACATCACTTGTGCTGCCCCAGCCAGTTACCACCATCTGCTTCCCACTTCTTGTCAGCTCCTGTTCTGCCAGGTCACGGGTGGGAAGACAGATAGGGAGCATGTATTTGTTATACATCACGGGCTCAGCCAAGTGCAGCATGGCTATGTCATTATCGGAGGTCTCCTTGGTGTAATTTTCGTGGCTCACACATTTATCAACCCAAATGGTTTGCTCATCTGCCTCAGTACGGAGACGGTGGAATTTACCTGGAAGAGCAAACAAGAAGATGACAGATGCTACCGAACCTTCCTCCACCTCGAACACCAAAGCATCTGGATTACATTGGGCTTTAGGACTGTACTTCCCATTTTTACTTCCCTTGTAATACAGACATTTGTTCATTTTATGTTATAGGTTAACAGTATTCTTACTAGATGGACAAATCTGTAGACTTTCCATATTTACCTAAACCATGAATACATACAGTACTAAATGAATTAGTACCCTAGAGCTACGGTCAGCAGTTGAGAAACTGAAATGCCCTGTTGTGTTCATATTACAGTATGCTTCTGCAACTTGAGAGATCTTCTTCAGGAGGAAAACCATCTTCTTGGAGTCAGCATTAAAAGCTGGGAGAGCAAGCATACAGCAGAGCAAGACTTTTACAACAGTAAAGAGCTTTATGCTGTATAACCAGTGCCTGAATGACTGAACTTCAGGGTTTACAAGATAAAGATGACTAATTGGTAAGCCTATTCCCTTCTGAAATCTTGCATCTGTATTTTAAGGAATTTTTGACTACTTAAGACTTCTCAGTTTTTATTTGTGCCACATCATCGTGGCTACTTTGTGAGCCAAGCAGTTATAAAGCAGTAAGCAGGAAATTACGTTGAAAAGGGCCAGAAAGGCAAGAACAAGTAATGTGTGACATACTGGAAAAGGAAAGATGGACAGCTCGCTCTGACAGGCTGTGAAGAGATTGCCCCAAGAAGAATTACCAGTGGCTGTCATATTTCTGAACTGTGCTGTTAGTTAATTTAACCTTCATATCAAGGCCTACTTCAGTATGTATTTGATAAAAACACTTCTTCAGAGAACTGTCCATTATGCCCACTGGAGCGGCAGGCAGGCACACATCCAAGCACATGAGGCGGCCGGACATCCAGGCTGACACCTCACCTCTGCCCATGCTGCCTGTGTGCAACAGAAGCGTGCTCTCCTTCTCCATCTCTCTACAGGTAAGTTGGAAGTTGCTCTTTATCACAACCTTTTCAAATGTGTGCTTCAAAATATTACCCTTCTAATTTGTTCCCCCGCTTGGCCCGTTAATTTTTGTCTTCTTTCAGTCTTAACTTGAATCCCTCCAGATAAAAATTCTCCAGCCAAGTTGCTCTGACTTTGCGTGACCAAGGTCTTCTGAAGTCGCTTCAGTGCAAGCTCCCCTGTGCTTAAGTCTGTCAATGAGGTATTGCAGTTGTTCAGTTTGGTTTGTGTGGGTTTTTTGGTTTGGTGGTGTCTGGTTTTTTTTTTCTTTCCTGTAAAGAGTTAGTGTCTCCAAGTGTAGGGCCTTTATGATCCACAGTAGTTCCAGAAATAGATTCTCAAAAGACCCCTTAAGCCCAGCGTTGGATCTTGAACTTCCAGACCAATTCTGAGTCTCTCCTCTTGCTGCTCTGCAGACAGCCAAAGGACGTTTCATACATGGCCCCAGCAGACAGCTGGAACTGCTCTGACAGGCACCTGGATTAAGTAGTACCAGAGCCTGAAGGACTTGCTAGTATCAAGTCAACACTCGCAAATTTATTTTTTTTGCTATCACGACCTCTCTTCTCTGTGCCGATAGCATCCGTAGCCCCCTTGGAGTACATTTCCTTGCCACCCACTCTCCAGCCACCGTGGCTGAGGGCTGACTGGCAGATAAGGGACAGGGGTTTATTCCTGTCTTCACAGATACAAAACTCTGCTTTAGGCCTCAGAAACAACTCTGGACTTGAACACTGTCAGATCGTCTCGTCTGAGGAAGGCAACTGTGTAGGAGCACACTTTCTGCTAGGCTTCACATACTGTGTATACAAGCATGCCTATGTCTGTATCCCGAGAGACCTACGAACAAGCGGGTGACAGCTTTCGCACCGGTGCTCCTGTAGCTGCCCCCAGCCCAGCCCAGGAGAAGACCTTTTTGACTTCTGGTCATGAGTACTTCTGTCTCAGTTGAGCCACCTACCCCAAGAGCTTCAAATTCCAGAAGTCTTATCCATACCTGGATGTACTGAACCCACAAGCTGTGTGAAATGCATCTAGTTCCTTCTACACACTAAGGAGAATCATAATCTTGTTCCAGGCAGAAAAATACCAACAACTATGAAGTTCTACATAAACAAGGAATTGTGAGACCTGTTCTCTGAAGGCACAGACAGTATTTTGAATTGAATCATTACATTCACCTATCTGCTCTATTTTCTTGGAGCTCAGAACACTCTTTTGGATGCTCTTAACCTGGAGATGCAGGAACAAGAGCCACAAACAGGAAAACTGCGTTGTTCTCAAATCCATCTTCCAGAACTTCAGCTACTCTGAGATCTAACTTTTCACTTCAGACACTAAAAAGCCATGCGAGTCCTGCTACAAGGCTGCTCCCCAAGCTCATGAGGGCAAACCCAGATGCGAGCTGCCCCTCCAGTTTTGCTCTTACGGACGGCACGCAGAGAGCTGCAGCGGGACGAGTCCAGAGCAGTGTTGGGTAGCCCAGCCCGACAGAGGCAGGTTGGGTATTATCTCTGCGGGCCCAGCACAAACACCTTCGTTACTGTCACGGATCTCACACCTGCCCCCACAGACACCGCAATGTCTCCATTCAAAACTGTTCCATGTATCTCACCAGATGCCTCTAAGGTTTAGAGCATGTGTTTTTCTGATGAGAACTGCTTTTCTGGTGGCAGTAAAATACTCAAAAGATACATGTAGAAGGACAACCATGTGGAGTTAGGCTGGGTCTTAAAAAGATTCCCTTCTGCTTGAGCTGGAGTATCATTTGGAGGAGAATCTCTTCTGTCTTGGTGAAGTCTCAGGCTTTGGTCATCTCAGTCCTGCACACGCACACTCATACCACAGTAAAGGATACCTTCCGTGGCTTCCAACTCACCACAGCAATATTGCTCAGGGCTGAAGGAGAATGGTTCTTCTCTCATGCATCACAACTCTCAGTCCATGGCCACACACTTGCTTTTTCCTCTGTTAATAAGGAGGTCTTTTGGGCAGCTAGGAGTCCGAGAGAAATTCAAGCCCCGACTGCTGATCATCCTTATGCTATAAATTACTCTGTATACTCACCCCAAATTTATGTGAGAGATGTCTCTTGAGTTTCATTTAAGTCAATAAAAAAAAAAAAATCTTCTCAAATCAGGGTACTCAAGTGGCGACACTCTTTTTACCCACTGAAAATCACTTTTTATTTGGACAGCACAGGACTCTCTTGACAGATCCCACCCCTTCTTTCTTTGCTGCAGAGAGATTTCTGGTCATGGCTATCCCAGCTGACAGCTTGTCACACTGCACAGATCTCTACCAAGACCTGCAGTATGAGGCCACGGTGGAACAACTTAGGTGCAGCCTCAATACCTCCCCTCGTTACCATTTTCCCATTGACCTATCCCCTTTCAAGTTACACTCAAAGCTACAGCTAGCACTGCAGAGCATTCAAGCACCACATCTGACAGCTGCTTTTCCCCTAAAACATTCCAAGATCCTTTACCAAGCAAACTGCGCAGGCTTCTTCTTCTTGGGCCTCACTAAAACTAAATATGCATATCGGCAGTCACTTAAAAGGGAAGAAAATGACTTCCTAGCAACTGGAAGTGCTTGGAGATGCGTAGTCTGTATGCATATTTCCAAACTACCACACGCACTTCTATTTTGATGTCCCTCTGTGGAAAAGGTGGATATTCTGGCACTAAGAGGACCCAAGGCCGTATCACATGCTTTTCCGTTCATCCTTTATGTTGAACAACGGAGGATGTACATAGACACATCTATCTGTATGTGCCTTATTGCCTCTGTTCTCAAACACCTGCACAATCACAGTTTATACGGAACATGCAAAGGAGACAACATATTTCCAAAGCTATGTATACAGACAATGTATTTGCAAGACTTTCCACAATTTCTGGGAACAGCCTATCTTTTCACTAACAGTCGAAGAAAGCAGTTGAGCTGTTGTGCTTCTGTCACTAATGGTAGATAGAAAACACTAATAAAAAAAAAATTTCTACTTAAGTGTGAATGGAACACTAATTACTTTTGTCTGTTAATTCAGGAGCAGTACTGTACTTGACATCATAGATTTTCTCATGCTTAAGAGCAGCAGTGCCAGTAAAGGCAGTGTTGCCATTCTGCAGCACCTCTCCTCCTTCTTTACTGAAACTCTCAAGTAATGGTGTTCAAATGTACAAAAGGCAGGAAGAGGCACTGTGACATTCTTCTCCTGGGATCAAGACTTTTTTTTTCAGTATTGGCATAACCTTGAATATTTTTATCACCAGAAAAACACCAGAAGAGACCAAGTCTTGCTACTTTATAGACAAGCAGCAGTGCTCAGAGGTATCAGCTCACTTCCGTAGTAAGGTTGGTAGTGGCTCAAATGAAATCAGATTTTTACTGAACTTCTTTGTTTTGTGCTAAAGGTACATATTAAATACTTCCTAGACAACTTACTCCTACAATCAAGAAGGACTTTAGTCTTCCTAACGTGCTAGTCTTTCTCCTGAGACGATAAACCTTGGGAATGAAACAGTTACATTTAAAAAACACAGGGACAGACTTTTTTCCATACCAAGTCTTACTTTGAGCCCCTCTTCTGCTTCAGTGCAGTGTGCTGCTGTCAGGACCCAAGATGGATGGATGAGGACACCCCCACACAGAAATTTCCCTTTGCTATTTTGCAGCATAATCTGAAACAAAAAAAGAGAGGTCTGACTCTGCATGGAGCATGGCTCACAAAATACTGTACACATTCTTCTCTGTGGTTGCAAAATACCCAGATGCATCAAGCACCAAAGTATGTCACACATTCATTGAAGACAAAGCTCTACAGTGGGACAAAAGCACTGTGAATAAGGTCTCTGTGGAACACCTACAAAAAAGTTTTGAATATTCTTCCTGAATGAGGGCTGGTTTCATCCAAATCAGCATGCGATGATGCTGGTCACTGCAAAGAAGTACTCTGGTACTTCAAAGCTTTGAAACACAGAGCTCAAATGAGGGGATTATTCTCATGTCCATAGCATAGCAGAGACAGCGCGTCATCTCAGGCTGTGACTCGCATGCTATGGTGTAAAAGGGCCTTTAATGTCAAAGAGAACCATGCCCTGATTATATGCATTCACTAGTTCCATGATAAGTTCTGCAAGATCTCCCCTTTCTCTGTGATGTCCCAACCTCCTCTGTAAAGCTATGGTATACTTTGCTGATTAAATCTGCTAACTTGAACTCATGACAGATGAGGCTTATAAGAACTGAACCACGCAGAAAGGGGGAGATTAGCTCACGCTCCCACCATAAGGCTGTTACAGTAGCTGGAGCATGCATCACGCATCACGAGCTGCGTGATTAAATGGCCTTCCCCAGGATGGAGCAACAGAGCAGGTAAGTGTCATCATTATCCTCTCTCTTGACATTGTTGGCAAAGTAAGGCAAAAAACTTGGCAACAGTGACAAGGTCAAGAGTCTTAACAAATAATACACTACTTTTTCCTGTTACTCCAACTTCTGAGTTGTTTTTGAAAAAGCTAAGCTAAGGGAATCTTAGCTTCACGTGACACCACCGCTACTAATGCAGGAGCCTTTCTGGAGCAGCTAGGCAGGCAGAGTTGCTCAGGAAGAGCCTGAACTATTTGTGGTTGAAAACTCTTTTCTCCTTACCTGCCAAGGGCTGCCTCCCCGTCGTCCTACTTTTCCCTCAATGAGCCGAATATTGAATCCTGCTTTGGCTTCAGTGTAGTCCATTTTCACTCTTCCACAGGGGAACTCCACTACAAGAGATGCAGAGAAGTTAACTAGCAAAGACCGGATCACCCAATACAAAACCTCTTTCTAAAGCATTCCCTCCGTCTCTCTAACCTAGGCAACACTATTCAGTGGCTTCATGGAAGTCCCTCAATGCTTTGCAGAGGAAGCAGTTTCCTGATTCCCCTGTATGTCTCCATGAGGCAAACACAGGTTAAAGGCCACAAAATGGGTATGGAGTCGGGAAACGCAGGCACTCTACATGGAATGGATGTTTTGAAAACTAGTACAAAGTGCGCTGCAAACAATTCTCACATAAAACCCTCTTGCTTCACGTTTGAATAATGCTCTGTCAAATCTGGACTATGAACATCCTCCTCTTACCCACAGGCTTGCACATGGTATGGCCATTCACCAACTGATACCCAGATGCGCAGTTGCAAGAGCGGCACTGGTTGGCAGGGTCATCCCTACAGAAATGTTCACATCCTCCATTATCAACAGAACAGTTGGTGTATTTGACCTCTGTGGAAAAAATGAACAGCAAGACATGAGAAGTTGGAAAGCCAAAGAGTCACAGGAAGGTAAACTGGCAAAATGACACCGTGATTCAAGTGAGCAACAGCTGACAATGGATTTGGGATGACAGTTGTGGGTTTTAATGGCACTCAGGCCCTGAGACAGCAAACAGACCTTGGTCCAGAGTAAAGCAGTGGGGAGATGGAGAAAACAGAGATTACTGTCAGGGCAGGCAGACTGGACAACAGAAAATTCACTGTCACTGAGTACAAGTCAGACAGTGCAAAGTGTTGATGATACATGACATACGCACTCATCCCTAAATATGCTATCCAGCTTATGTCCACAGAAGAAATTGTCACAGCAATGACAATCAAATATTTGTGCTGGATTGTTTTTTCCCCTCTACTGTAACCTCCCCCCAACCCTGTGTTGACTGTCTGAAGTAACTGAAAACCCTGCTTCACAGAATTATTTCCAGTATTTTTATAAAATCTAGATATCTCAGATCTCCAAGCTTCTCCCATGGCAACACAAAGTTCATTTTGCCTTAGATAAGCGCAGATAATCCTTTTACCACATCATGAAGCAAAAGAGAAATCACATAAGTAAAGAGTACACTGTGCAGTGACCAAAGTGTCAGTCCCTATTACGCAGAGATCCCTGTCACGAAGAATGTTATTTCATAGTGGATTAAAGGCAGCATTACCATAATTGCACAAAACGCCCTCCCAGCCTTTATTACAGATGCAGGAAAATTCTCCAATATTGTCCTTGCAGATGCCATTGGAACAAGGCTGTGGATTACACTGATCTCCATCTGAAACAGAGGCAGGAAAACTCAGCCCCTGAATCATACAGGGCTCACAGATCAAACATTAACACAACGAGACCCTTCCCAGATTCCCAAGCATCACCCACCATTTCTGCCACCGAACGGTGATACCTCCATGGTGCTAGCCCAGAGACAAGGGCTTTTGTTTGGGTTCTGAATTACAGCTGCAGCATGAGTGGAGTGGGCAGAAAGGGAAGAAAGAGCAAAACCTGAGGCAGACAGGGCAGAGGCAGGTTACTGCAGAAGTGAAGAGTAGGGGTGGGCTCCTCTTTGGACCATGTCAGGCGAGGTTAGAGAATCAGAGAGCACTTCTGACCAGTGCCCCAGCTCAGGGGAGATGACTGATGATAGGAACAGATGCACCACAAAGGCTTTTAGGAAGGTTGCTTGTATGATAGAACAGGAAAACATTCTTTGCACACCCCATGCAGGAGAGAATGAGAATTTGAATCAGTATGTGACACATGGCAGCAGGAAGGCTGAGTACCAGTTACTCTGGAGGAAACAGAGAGAAATGATTAGGAAAGTCTTTTACTTACCTACATACTTGGTCCAAAAATTTCGCTGTGGAAAAACAAAACTTACATTAAGGCTAGAAGCAGATTTTTAACAAGCAAGGGATTTAAAGTGTATCATGGTCTTGGCCAACACAGCACAGCATACCAGTCAACAGCAATGGTCTAGTTGTTCTTTACAGTGTAGTGACTGGCACTACAAACCAACACAACCGGCCAACCTGGACGTTCATGTATTGCCCGCACTCAGCACAGATCCCCCTGCCCTGCTTGCAGTCCCACCAGCACCACAACCCCTCAATGTCCCCACAGCTTCTCTGTCTTCTTGTCACTTACTGCCAGGTAAGTAACCTGTGTTGTTGAGTGCACAATCCATTTGTGCCCAGTTAGACAAAATGTGGGCACTGCGAAGACAGATCCCACGCCATTCTGGGGTCTGAGGAACAGCAAGGACTGGTTCATCCTATGTGGCAAGCCTACTCTGCTTAACACAGTAAGAAAAAGTCCAAGCCAACGCAACAACTGAGTGTGGAAAGGAGTAGGAATCAGTGATGTTGACAATAAACGTAGTGTCCAATTGAAAATATGAGGTTTAGAGAAGGAAAGAGAACCTAGCGATAACAGAAATGTGTGTCAGGCACAGGTGGGAGACTGGGGAGATACAGTGAAAGGCAGCCAGGGCTGGCGAATGCACAACAGAGGGCAAAGGACTGGAAGGGCTGGGAAAAAATCAGTGGCAGGAGGGATGGTTCGCAGTGGCAGCAGGAATGGTCAGTGGTGTCAAGCAGGGATTGGGATTACCTGGTTGGGACTTAAAACAATTATATCAGGTGGGACATGCATGAGCAGTCAAGTTTTCTGGTCCATACAGGTTGTGACTTGACAATCACTGTAAGACAATTACATTTAAAACCATGCCTACACCTTAGGAGTCAGGAGTGATGCATGTTCAGTGCTGACAACAAGATCTCCTACGCCCTGGATTGCAATACTTTAAGAAAACTACTGATTGGTTAAGTCCCACATTCATCCTTAAAAAAACCCCAACTTACTGTTGCTTCCTTGGTTTCAAATATCTCACTGGCCTCCTCAAAGTCACACTGCTCTTCATTGCATTCACGCTCCACAGAGCCCGGTTTGAGCTCCTCCAGAAAAGAGTTTGCCCGCTTCTGGATTTTCAGGACTTGGTTTGCATCTTTATTGCTGTAAAATACTGGAAGCAAAAAATGTGAAAGCAGAAGCAGGGACAAGGGCTGGCTGAAAACTGGTAGTGGTCCTTCCCAAAGGACACTTACCAGAGCAACAGCTCCTCTCTAGCACAGCAAGAGAGCCTGCCCTACAAACCACAGGCTGTCAGCGCTGTGCCGCAGAAGCAAGCTCCAGCCTTTGCTCTGTGGTACTTAGACAGCTCGTAGGGCTCCTGAGGGCTGTGACCAGGCAGCCATCATGGCCCAGCACTGTGTCTGTCAACCTCTGCTAGAGGAATTCAAACCCCGCTAAATGGGAATGATTCCAGCGGCTCCCTGTGACCGTCAGAGGAGCAGGGAACACCCTTCCAGTCACTGGAAAAGAGTGAAGGGTACCTCTGAAATGAAAACTTACTTGAGGTACTACAGTCTCGTGTAGAGCAGGCAGCCAGCAGCACCCCTATGGTGAGGAGCTTCCACATACTGCAGCAGGAGTCACCTAAAGAAGAGAAGGCAGACGTGAAAGAGAGCGCACCGCTGAGCTGCAGCACGACCCCCATGCTGCAGACAGTTTCTATTCAGACAGCTCAGCTTGCTGCTTCACTTGTTTTTCTCAGAGCAGCTCCCTTGCTGAACGCTGCGTTGTGCCGTGATTTTCTGCCGATTCCAGCTCCAAAGCGGCCGTTCATTAGAGGCCCTCCAGACTGTTTTGCTAGTTCCCTTTAACCCATCAGCAGCTCTCCCAGAACACTTCTTGTCTTCGCTGACATCCTCCCCTTGTCACTGCATTTTTTTACAAGCTTTATGCTTCATTAAAGCAAGTTGTACTTTGAAATCCCGAAGGATACAATACTTTTGAAGCACTTACTGCTTTATTCAGTCTGAATCAGTGCGATCTATTCTTCCACCATGAGCTCTGCTGGAACTTAGTTAATCCATAACTTCAGATATTTACTCTTTGGAGTGACATGAAGAGCTTTCTTTTTAGTCATTAAACAAACAGTGCTCAGGGGGAGCCTTGACAATTTACCTGCAAGCAGGAGAAAAGTGAAACAGCTGAGGCATCCACTCTGTCTTTTTCAAATGTTTTTCTTTTGATTCTCTGGCAAGTAGAAACGGTTATATATAGTTTGACAGTATAACCACGCAGTGCTGAGGTCTCGAGAGATCCTACCACCTTCTCACAGCACACAGTCACCTGAAAGGGACATATATTGCTAGTGTTCAGACTCCTCCCACTTTACTTTCCTATCAAAGGTTCCACCACAAAACAGCCAAGGCAACCAACCCCTCTTACAGCCATGAGCAGGCAGTGCCTGCTCCATCAGCTGCCTGCTGTGAGAAGGCAGGGCAAGAAGCTTGTACCAGCATGCTGCGTCTTTTGGCGTACTCTATTAGCTCTCATCAGCACAAAATCTTCTATTGAATTTTGAATATTAAACATTTCAGAGAAAAAAAACCAATTCTTTTCAGAAGTTTTCTTGCATTGGAGACTGTAGGAAGCAGTATGTCCCTCTTCTCTGAAAGCAGTTTGTGCAGCTGCACCTCTGCAAGCAGTACAACACGTGACATCTTCCTGCAAATTACCTGTGCAACCACGAGTCCTTAGGGGTCCTTCATCGGAGAAAATGCCGCTGGGTGTCAGGAGAAGGTGGGCCTCCCCAGAAGCTCAGCTCACGTCCAGTGACACTGTTTAGGAGAGCTCTGATGGCTTATAAAACTTCTTTTCTTTTTTCCCTTACAAACCCGGCTATGAACTCCCTTGAAAACAAGCTCTCTTTAAACAAAGGTTTCAAAGTTCATCCATTTGGGACTTGTGCTAAAAAAAGAAAGACTGCAGCATCCAAAATCACAGTTGGGGAAGATGTGTGCACTGCGAAGCTCTACTGATATATCCTTTATCCTCATTTCAGCCATTCAACAAGAAAATTTCAGCTGAGATTAATGGTAACAGATTTTTGCTGAAAATCAAGTTTATGAAACATACCTGAAGACAGGAAACATAAATAGGAAATCTAAAAAGAAACAAGTGTAGTACCATATATTCCACATATTACTCATAATATTTGTAGCTAACCTGGCTATCTAGAAATAGTGCTTTGCTACCACCTATGTTACATGTTTTTGAATAGACTTTTGTTTCTAAGACTTGGTATAGGTTGGAAATCTAGGACACACATATCAACTGCCAACCTAAAACATCTAAACCAATGTATCAGTCTCGTAAAAAACCTTTTTTTGTTGTTCAAAACCTATACTGACACTCAGAAAGAATTAATTTAGTTCTTCATCAGCCCTTGTGTTTTGGGGGCATTATATTGCTGCTTTCCCATTTCTCTTGCTACTGCAATGCAGAAATATGTATTTTAAAAGCCAGCACTTGGGCTTTCAGGTAACTATATGACTCTAGGTGCAGGGGATTGAAGAAAAGATGCTCTGGGATACTTCAAGACCTGTGCAGTTTTGCATGCCAGGGAACCATTTCAATCTAAACAACTACAGTGCTGGACTCACTACTTTCTAGTTTCCTTTCATTAGAAGAATAGTGATTTTTCTGAGGAGGGCTAGAAGAGGGTAAAGAGGAAAACACAGAGAAACTTCATGAGAGATTGGCAAGACAGAGGCTCCACAACATTTTCCTTAACACTGTGGAGAGTTCCAATTCACAGTGTGTGATGAACAGCCATTAATAATCAAAGGGAATCGCCTCCTTGAAGTAAAAAAATATCATGGCTCTTTCAAATTTCACAGCTTAAAGATATTCCCCCTTACAAC